GCAAATCTATGGAGACAATAAAAAGATCAGTGGTTGCCAAAGGTTAGGGAGACAGAAAAGATGAATAGGTGGAGGACAGACGATTTTTAGGAGAGTGAAACTACCCTGTATGACACTATGATGGTAGATACGTGTCATTATACACCTGTCCAAACCCAGAGAATGTACAACACCAAGAATGAACCCCAATGTAAACTACGGACTTTGGGTGACAGGATGTGTCAATTCAAGTTCATTGGTTGAAAAACCATGCCAATCTAGTAGGGGATGTTGATCTTGGGGATGGCTATCCATGTACGGGAGCAAGAGCTATACATGAAACCTCTTAGCTCCCCTCAATTTTGCTGTGAACCTAAAACTGCTCTAAAAAATACAGTATTTTTTTAAAGGCACTCCCAAATGCTTATGTAGGGGATCAGAATTGGTGCCCCAAGAATGTGACTCTTTGCCTTGATTATTTTTAAGGGCAAAAAGACTCTGAAAGAAACTTTGACCTTTCCCCTAACTGCCTCAAAGAATTTAAAATAGAAGGGCCTGTTCCAGGAAGGAGCGAATACTGTAAGATAACTGTAGTATAATGCAAATGTGTCTCTCAGGTCATATTGTCTATAATTGGCCCATTTGCATTTCCATCTCCATGTAAATTGCTTCCTTCCCCTTGAAGACCCAAACCACTGCTCCCAACATCCTCCTTCGTCTTTAGTTGAAGATGATATTTAAAGTGGTGGCTTCAGTCATTCTGGTGAGTTGCTCAGTTCTCCTGGGTTTCTCCCATGCATACACATTATAAAGCTTTGTTTGATTTTCTCCTGTTATTCTGTCTCATGTCAATTTAATTTGTAGACCAGCCAGAAGACCTAGAGGGTAGAGGAATTGTCTTCCTCCCCCTACAGTTATGTACTGTTATATAAATGATTCCATTAATACAACATTCTGGAAATAACAAAATTATACATTTGGAGAACAGATTAGTGGTTAGCAGGGGTTAAAAAGCGGGTGGGTGTGAGGAAAGTCGGTGTGGCTAGAAAAGGTCAACATGAGGGATTGTCATCCTTGTAATGACTGACTGCATTAATGTGAATATCCTATTTGTGATTGTGTACTAGTTCTGCAAGATGTTACCACTAGGGGGAACAGGGTAAAGGGTACACAGGATCTCTCTCTATTATTTATTACAACTGCAAGTGAATCTATAATTATCGCAAAATAAAAAGTGCAATTTTTAAAAAAAGGGATGGACCACTAATACACTCAACAACATGGATGAACCTCAAAACATTACGCTGAGTGAAAGAAGTCAAACACAAAAGAATACATGCTGCATGATTCCATTCTTGCAAAATATAAACTATTCTATAAGTGACAAAAAATCGACCAGGGGTTGCCTGGGGCCGGGGGAAGGGAGGATGGAATGCAAAGAGGCAAGAAGGGGATGAGATGTTTTTCTTTTGATTGTGGTAGTGGTTTTATGAGTGTAAATAACTGATAAAACTCATTGAATTGTACACTTTAAATGGATGTGGTCTATCTTAAATAAATTATTTCTCAATAATGTTGATAAGAAATAGAAATAAGTTAAAAGTCCAGCAACCAAGGTCTACAGGCCACGGCGTTATAACTGTGAAGGCCTCAACCGGACCAGGGAGGACTTCCTTATGGCTCACCAATGTCCTGAGGAAGCTTTAAGAGTCATCTAGCAATTAATCAAAAAACATCTTTTTATTCCTATTACATATGAAAAGCACACAGGGCGTTCTCCACAGAAAACACAGCACGGTCCTTGAACACGTGAAGAGGACCATCCAGTCAGAGAGACATGGCACACAAGAGGAATGGAGGTGGCCATGCAGAGTACAACTGAGAGCCCTGAACAAGCCCAGGAAGAGGACAGCAGGCCCAAGGAGGATGGGAGAAGTGAGCCAGAGATGGAAAAGGACCAAGTGAAGATTCCTCCTTCCATTAACCAGTGGCCTCACCACGTGTGTCCTCACTCACCTCGACTTGAAATACCAGTCACGTTTGCCTCTTGCTTCATCCCCTTAGCCAGGCAGACATGGGGTCCTGGTGTCTCTGGCGCCTCTCTCCTCCTTCTTCTCATTACCACTTTCCCTGGTCATCACCTTAACAGCTTATGCCTGAAGCATTGCAGAGCCTCCTCCCCCGCTCCCCAGCGCTCGGTCCTTGCACGCCTTGCACAATAACTGTCTGAGGTTGGGTTTCCTGGAAGCAGAGCATAAGCTGGGGATTCTTGTTCAAGTGATGTGTTAGGGGAATTCTCTCAAAGAAGGGAGATGAGGAAAGCAGGATGAGGCAGAGGAAGGAACTAGGCAAGGATGTGGTCTCAGCTTGATCCCTTGGGTGAGTTCAGGAGCACTGTTTGTACAAGAGCTGGTCCCACCTTGAGGCAAAGTAGATGCCCCCCTGTGACTGCCAGCCACTGACTGGGGGGCGAGGGGATGTTTTTCAGGCAGAGTGGCTCAATTTGGCCAAGGACAACTCTTTGGAAAGAGGACAGCTGTGGGCTGTTAGCAGCAAACACTCAGAAGCTGTGGGATGACACCGACCTGAAAAAGAGATTTGGCAGAGCACCAATAGCATCCACTACAATGACCTTCCCAACAAACTTATCTGATTTCATCATGTCTTTGATTAAAACTGTCAGATGATTCCATCTGCACTGGGTTGGGTGGGGGCACATAGCCCACACTCTGTCTATCTTCACCTAAGACTACCACAATCTAGTCCAAATCAAATCAACCTTCTCAATAGCTCTCTCCCTCTTGTCCTCTCTCCGTCTCCCTCTCTCTCATCCACAGAGGTGAAGTAGGCTAGTGAGCAGAAGCAATCATCCAGATAATTCCATTTCCTAATCCGTTCATTTTAGAGTGATCCAAACTGCCTGTACGGGTTGATCAAACAAAGCTGACGAGAGCATGCCCTCCTCTGCCACTTTGGTTCTGAAGACACTGTCACTGAGACCCTGTTTTCCTGCCTCTAGACATGAAGGGCTTGCAGAAGGTGGCCTGACACGTGAACGGACCATCAGGCTGCCAGAGTGACATCCCAGCTCGATGCTCTTTTATCCCACACGTCTAATTGGGCTCCATCACAATCACAGCCTCCTCAGGAGGATGGGAGCTGATGCAGTGAGATGGAAATCAGAAGGCGCTGTCAGCTCCCATCTCTGGGGCCTCAGGACCATGTCAACATGCTGATCCCAGACCAAGGCCACGGCCTCACACAGGGACATCAGGCTGGAAGCAGAGACAGTGTCAGTCAAGCAGAGCCACCATTCAAAGATGACAGCATGCCAGGCAGAAAAGTGCTGCCCTGCATTGGGACAGACCTGTCCCCTAGGGGCTGGCAGAGCTGGCCACTTAGCCCAGCACCTCTGAGATCAGAGGCTACACAGCATGCCTAAACTGTGACAATCACAGCCCCCTGTCCTCGAGTGCAGTTCATGAATCCTCATGCCACGCCATGCGGAGGTACTGCTCTCCCCTTTTCAAGGGCGGGATGCTGAGGCTTCAAGAGATGAAGCCGCTGCCCAAGGCTACGTGCTAGCCCCACTAGGACCCGAGAGTCACATTCAAACCTATTTTTTTCTCCTAACCATTCTGCTCCAGAGAAAAGACAACATGACAAAAGAGGAAACAGGCTCAGGCGAGAAAGACTAGGTCCACGTGGCTCTCCTCAGCCCAGGTAAGAAGGAGGCCCTGAAACAGGGTTTTTGTTTGTTTTTTTGAGGAAGATTAGCCCTGAGCTAACTACTACCAATCCTCCTCTTTTTGCTGAGGAAGACTGGCCCTGAGCTAACATCCATGCCCATCTTCCTCTACTTTATATGTGGGACGCCTACCACAGCATGGCGTGCCAAGCGGTGCCATGTCCACACTTGGGATCCGAACCGGCGAACCCCGGGCCACAGAGAAGCGGAATGTGTGAACTTAACCGCTGCACCACTGGGCTGGCCCCTGAAACAGGGTTTTAATGGCCCTTTCTGAGGTGTTTTTCTTGAGGGTGGAGAAAAAGGGGTCTCTTTGCACAGTTTTAGGGCCCAGGAAAGAAAGGCTTGGAGGGGACCTCGCACAGGAGGAAAGCAAAGGCACAAAGTACGGAACAAGCCTGTCGGTGAATTCAGGGGCCAAGTATGGAGGAGAGTGGAGCCGGTGATCAGGGCGGAAGAAGGCTTGTGCTGGATGGGAAGGGACTTTGAGGAAAGAGCAGGAGTCTTTGATGGGAGCCGGGAGGAGCTTCGGAAGTGGACACACTGACCACTGCTCCTTTCCCATTGCCTAGCACGGCACCTACTTTACAGAGCACAGTAAAAGAAGAAAGGAGCAAATGAACAAATCAATGGAAAATTCTGGTGACACAGACAAAGGTGTGGCTGCTGAAAGCTATCCTGCTGAGCACCTACCCCATTTATCACACATTTACCAGAGAAAATTCTTCTCCAGACAGGGTGGAACCGGGGCTGCCGCTCCCCTGAGTCAGGGCCCGGCCAGCTGCTCGCTCAGGAGTCCTGTGGGCTGCCTGCGACCGCCCTTAATGAGATGTGATTGCTGAAGGGAAGCAGCTAATTGCATGATGTTTTATTAATCCTTTCTCTATGAAATATTAATTGTGAGCCATCACAGATACAAAAATCTGTCTGCTTTTTAATGACTGGGGTTTGCGGAATCTCCAGATGAATGTTACAGGGTTTCTGTTGAGGGACGATGGTGACAAGCGTGATGCCAGATCCTGTAGAAGGAGAGTAGCTGACAGCCCAAAACACATGGGGATGTCAAAAGCGAGCTGCTCTGCCGGCAACCGGGGTTCTGCCCACGGGCAGAGGGGAGCTGAGCTAATTTGTGCTCTGCAGTGAATTAAGCTAAGGAGAGATTTACAGCCAAATATCCAAATACTTACCCCAAATGTGGGCCAAAAGGAGGTAAGACACCTGCAAGAGGAAGCCGTGAGCACCAACCCAGCAAGGAGCGGGTTGTAAGACTTACCTCTTCCTTCTGTTTTCCCTGAGGTTGGTTCACCTGGGAGGAAAAGCATCAGAGAACATGAGCCTTAAGCCAGATGTGGGGACAGAATTCTGAGGGTGGAGGGTCCTGGAAGCAGGAGGGAAGACATTGGCTGCCAGGGATAGAGTGGGACCCATGGAGAGAGCTTTACGAGGAGCCTCAGCCCACTTCCCACCTAGTCCTGGGGGGCTGCAGTGGGATGCCCGCTGGCCTGGAGCCAGGCCCCAAGGATTGTACTCCCCCCCCAAGGGTCTTCTGCGCGAGTGGGAGAAGTAGGAATGGCCGCTCCCCTGCACCACCCCCACAGCCAGGACCCAGCAGCAGGCACATAGGCTAGTTCCATAGCAACAGGACAGATGGTTCCAGGGCCACGCAAGAGGATGCCCGGCCTGGCAGAAGGGTCACTGGGATATACCTCCAGGAGCCAAAAGGAGGCAAGCCTGCCCCTCTGGGAGGCTCCCAAGAGATGGAGGGGCTACGTGAACAATGCCCCAAAACCCCACACAGCACTGTCATGGAGGCAACCAGCAAAGGCCCCAGCAATGGCTGGAGCCAGCCTGAACCAAAGTAAGCGACACTGCCCGTGGCCGAACGCAGGAGGCTAAGGAAGAAGCCTTGGCCTCCCCCATCTCTCTTCCCCACCCCAGAACCCCTGATGAGATGCACTTGGTGGAGGGGAGGTGAGGGCAAATGTCAGGACCAGATCACACACCCTCTCCTCCGTCTAAGAGGCAGGGCCACAGCTCTAGCCTGGACTGGAGAAAGAGAAGAACTTGTCCAAAGTTTGGAACTGAGGTGTGTTAAATAATGGACAGGAATAAGCTTTGACTTCCCAAAGGAGTAGGACCTGCAAGTGTCAGAAAGTGTTCAAATGCGACAAAGACCATGTTACAGAACCACAAAGGGGCAAGCAGATCTCCTTGCTACTCCAACTGAGGTCCACAGACCAGCAGCACTGGCTGCTTAGAGAAGCGGAACCTCTGTCCCTAAGCCCAGACCTGCTGAACCAGAATCTGCATTTTACCAGGATCCCCAGGTGATTGATAAGTGCATTAAAGTTTGAGAATCACAGGTAGTCAGATGAAATAAAACATTTGGTGTTTACGTCTCAATGAATTGAGATTCCTCAATCATTGGTTACATTAGACAGGATGTTTCTGTTGTTTGCAATCAAAAACTTAAAAAGAAATCATCACTCGTTACTATGCACACCGTCTCCTGGGATCAGCCCTTCTCAAAGTGATAAGTGGAAAAAGTTGGTCCTGGGAAACTTGAACCTGCCTTGGAGCCTTCTGATGCCCAGGGCATCCTGTTACTCCCCAGCACAGAGCACTTTCGGCACCACACCCACCCAGAGCCACCACATGAGCACGAGGGTGTCTCCCGCACATGTCTGGCTTACCATGGTCTGAAGCAACATGGCAGCCCTGCTCTTCACCCTCCTGGAAGCCTGCTCTCCATTCTGACCTTTGTAAAAACCAAAGAGTAAAATCAGCATTAGAATCAGAGCCGTGAACTGCCTTTCTCAGCTCAGGTTTGCTCCCATACAGAACTGTGGGCCCTTCAGCCTCCCTTCACAGCAGCCCCAAGGGCATCTCACGTGTGTGCAGAAAGAGTCTCCTGGGTCACCGTTGAGAGCCCACCACGGTGCTCCTCTCTGCTCTGGTTCCCTGCAGTGCTCCCTGCAGACACAGAGCACAACAGCCCCGGGTGCTCAGTGGAGCCGCACTGGAGGTCTTGACCGAGGGCACCTCGCCTATAACTGGGGCACAGTTGTGCGGGAGGACTTTCCGCAGTTCTGCTGGAGGACAATCCCAATTATAGACCCTAGGGTGCTCCCCAATCACTCCCACCTGAAGCTGCTTCTCAAAGGATGCACTGTTTTCCTAAAATACATATATATGCGTGTACATGTACATATACATATCACCTGTTAATGTTCGTCTCCCCCTCTAGACGGTAGGCTCTATGAGGGCGGGTCTATCTCTCTATGGTTCACCATTGTTATTCGTCACCAACCACGTCTCCTGACACAGGGTAGGTGCTCAACTAATGCTTACTGAATGAATAAATAGATAAGGGACTTTGTCGAATAAATAATAACTTCCCACTTTCAGCAAATCTCAACCACTCTGAGCCTCGGTTTCCTCACCTGCATAATGGATTGGAGTATCCACCTGTGATGGTTGTCAGGAAGCTGACCTCTGTCTATAAAAACATCTAGCACAGGGCTTTGTACCAAGTAGACTTTCAAAAATATTTGTTTCCTTATCATTTGCATGATGATGGTGAAGTAGTATTAATTGCAAATCTTATATAGCACTGACTAAATGCTGAGTGAGACTTAAATACACGCTTGTCTCTTACCCAGTTCGCACCATCTGGCAAAACGCCACCTCCGCTCCAATGCCTTCCCCGGCCCCGCCCACTCTTCTGCCTCCTCTGTTACCCTGCACCTGATGAGCACGCCCCCAGAGCTCTTACGTTGGTCCCCACACCCAGCTCTTCATGACTGTGCCCTTCCTGAGGGCAGGGCCTTGTCCTTTCCAGCTCTGCAGGCCTCGAACATGAATGAATGAATGAATGAATGAATGAACGAACGAATGCTCTCAGGCCTCTTCTGCACTCTCCACCAGCTTTTTAGGTTGAGAAACATGCTTACTCACTTTGAACATGGGCTTTGAAATCTGCCAGTCCTGAACTTGAATCCAGGGTCAACTAATTACTATTTAAGTGACTTTAGGCAATTTCATAGCTGCTCCACACCTCCACTTCCTTGTATGAAATGTGCAGTTCCTAACACCTACTCTCAGAGAGGTTTTGGGAATTCACTTAGAAATGTGTATTGGTGGGTAAACCAACGTTGGTCGTTTATTAAACACTCCATCAATTGAAATGGATATTCTCACCTGGCGTCCTAATGTGTACTTAGATGTGAATGGTACACGAGTTCTCAATTTGCTCTCATTCCTAGAGTAATTGTAAAGATCACCTCAGGTATGCTACATTAAGTACTTTCTGTTAATCCTTACAAACAAATCAGGAATAGTGAAATTATAGGCCCTTAGATTATTTTGGAACTCAGCAACCTTGGGAAACATCACCCATGGACATCATTACTGTTCCTTTAGGCTGGCAATAGCGTTAATAAACCCACCACAGTTTTTTTCAGTCTCCACCATGCCACTATGGGGGGAGCTGAGAGGAGGTGAGGGATGGATGCAAAGACGTGGGCCATGTGATTCTCCCCTTCAAGGAGGTCGAAGGGAAAACACAAGACCAAGGCCAGTGGAGCCACTTCACATCAGAGGAGCACTCGGCACCCTCCTCTCCGAGGTCCTAGTGCTGGATCCACATCAGTTACAGTGCGTGTCTTTAAATAATTTTAAAATTCTGTTAACCAGCATCCATCTAACACTTACCATATGCTAAGCACTGTTCTGAGCACTCAAGTTATCTCTTCCCCTCACAGACCCTCTGCGGTAGATATTATTATTACATTTCATGGTACAGATGAGGACCCTGTGGCACAGAGAGACCAACTCACTTCCTGGGATCTCACCGCTAGTAAACGGCACAGCAGGGACACACGCTGTCAGCCGCTGGGTCGTCCTGCCTCTGCCTAGCAGCTGCCACTTCTGATCAACACTAACGGTGCTGAAGATGAAGACGGTAATAACAAATGACGATATCCTCACAGGCAGAGGAGTCTTAATGAAGACTTGGTCATCTGAAGCCTTGAAAAGATGATGATGCCTCTATCCCCATACAGCATTAAAACAAAAAATTATAGCACTCGGTGAAAGTAAAGTCACAAAATTTTCATGTATACTGAAATAAAATAGCTTCTCTCTAGGTAATATGATAGCAAAATTCTGGAGTTTATTCAAGCTGAACCTTTGCTGTTTTTTCTGTGACCCTGCTTGGCTGGTGACCTAAATACACGCTTGGTGCCTCCCAGCCCTGAGGGCAGGGTCCAGGCCTGATGCTCCTACTTCCCCAGTGTGCAGGAGAGGGCCGCTAGTTCCTTCTCTCTAAAGGGTTGTTGAATGAATGCTTAACTGTATCTGCCAGTCTAGTTGGGTTGCCAGATTAAATGCAGGATGCGTCCTTAAACTCGAATTTGAGATAAACGATTAATAACTTTTTAGTATATGTATGTCCCATGTAATATTCAACTGGCATCCTGTATTTTTGTTAGTTAAATCTGGCAATCTTACCCACTAGAAATAAGATAAATTTGGAGAAGGGACAGTGACTGCGGCTTGGAGCCAAAGAAGGGGCTGTCGTGGAAGACACAGAGGTTGAGATGAGTCTAGAAGGAAACAGGAAGCACAGCGTAAATGGCATGCCCTGGAGCTGTGCCATCCAGTGATGAAGGGCATTCCTGGCAGGGAAACCAGCGTGACAGAAGGCCTAGAAGCTGAAGTGCACACGGCAAAGGAGGGGACGGTGAGGACACTGCCCGGAGCTCCTACAATCCAGCATTTCCAAACGATTCCTCCTGCTTGGTTTTTCCCACTTTTTCCACTACACCTAATTACCACTGCCCATTCCCCTCCATGCTCTCCCCACCATCTAGCCTTTGCCCCTGCAGTCCCTCTGCCTGGCACTCCTTCCCCTCCCCTCTGCCTGGCCACAGCCTTGTGCACTCAAGAGCTCGGAGTGTCAGCCGACTCACCTCTGCCTCAAATCCTTCTGAGTCAGTCTTAACAAACCTCCCGATGCTTGCATCATTTTCCTATAATCTCCCAGCATGCTTGGGACGGCAGCCTGTGACGGAGGTGGCCGTCCCCTCCTCTTTGGAACACTTTCTTTCCTTGGCTTCCAGAGAAGCACACACTCCTTGTCTTTTTTACCTCACTAGCTGCCCCTTCTCTGTTTCCTTTGTTACATCTTTCTTATCTCCCCAACCTCTAACAATAGAGGCCCCCCAAGACTCAGCCCTCAGCCCTCACTTCTTCTCTCTCTAGGCTCACTCACTTGGTGATCTTAACCTGTCTCATGGCTTTAAATAACAACTCCCCAAACTCTCCCTTGAAATCCATACTTGTATAACAATCTGCTTACAGAAACTCTCCACTTGGATGATTGCCAGACATAGCAAACTTAACAGATCTTTGCTTCCCAAAATGTGTACTTGCCAAAACAAGTCTTTCTCATGTCAGTCAATGGCAAATCTGGCTTACCAAAATCCTTTGACTCATCATTGATCCTTTTCTTCTCTCACATCCCCCTCCAAATCATCAGCAAACCTGTCAGGCTATCTTTTAAGTACACTCAGACTCCGACCACCTCTCTTCTTCCACCCTGGCAAGCTGCCATCACCTCCTGCCTGGACCATTGCAGTAGCCTCCTAATTGATCTCCCTCCTTCTACTCGTGCCCCTCTACTGTCAGATCTCCACATGCAGCCAAAGGCATCCTGTTCAATGTCAGTCTTGCATGGGACAAGATTCTACTTTACCAGGCCCACAGGTACCTCCACAATTTCATCCATCTTTGCTCTCCTCCTGCAGCTCTAGGCACCTGGTCTTTCCACAGTTCCCCAAACACTCCTAGCACACATCCTCCAGGGAGCCTTTGCCCTAGTTGCTGCCTCTGCCCAGAATGCTGTCCCCCAACCCTGCCAACTGGATAGCCACTCCTTCAATTCATCAGTTCTTGCTCAAATATCACCTTAACAGAGAGGTCCACACCACCCTATCTAAAATAGCACACACTCACACATACATTCAAGAACATACACTCCATCATCTCACTCTGTTTCATTTTTTTCCATTACACCTAATATAATGTATTTTTATTTATTTACTCATTACTCATCTCTACTAAAATGCAAGCTCTATGAGGTCAGGTGCTTTGCCCACTTGGTTTACAGAGCCTAGAACTGTTTAGACCTTGAATTGCTCAAGAAACACTTATTGATCGAATTAAAAAATTGATTTCCTGAGTATGATGGCAGCGGCAGCCAAAGGCAGTCAAGAATCCTCTGTGCCTGCAGCTCCCCCAGATCAGACAGGGGGACCCTTCGACAGCCTTAGGGAGGGTTTGGAACAGCTCCACTCACACTTTCAGGTCTCAGCTTATGTGTCACTTCTTTTCTGATACCCTCCTCCCCTCAGTTCTATCTTGCTATCTGCTCCCATAGCATCCTGTATTTCTCATTTCAAGGAACATGTCATATCATGTTATTATTGTGTCTTAATTGTCTTCCTTATAAGATTGCACATTTTCTGAAGACACACATGGAATTCTCAATAAATCCTTGTTGAATGAATCGATGGATGAAGTTGAATGAGCAGTGTGTGGCCATAAAGTTGGAGCTAAGGGAACTGAGCTGGGCATCAAGAAGAGGGCGAATTGAAAGGAGCAGGGATGGAGTGATAAGCTTGAAATACTTCAAAATAAAAAAAGAGGAAGGCGGGTGGGGAGGGAGAGAGAAAGGAAGGGAAGGAAGAAAGCTTG